TTACGGCAGCACAAGATGGACTAAGACATTCCTCTATAACAGTAGTTCTCAAATGGGAAAACTTTTTCCCACCATAGGACAACTGGCAATATCTGGAGACATTTTTGATCAAGATTGGGTGGGGGGTGTTGCTGGCATCTAGTGGGTAGAGGCTATGGGTACTGCTAAACATCCTACAGTGCACAGGACAGCCCCCATAGAAAGGAATTACTCTGCCCAAAATGTCGAGAGTGCTGATGTTGAGAAACCTTGCACTAGAATAGTACCATATTAATGTATCGCTAAGCATTTCCTATAGCGTCACCTTCTCTGGCCATGTCAGCCAGGTTGCTTGGCCCTTTTGGCAATTCTACCTGTACTCTTCAGTAAATCCATTTCTTTGTAAATTAGTTGAAAGGGACTTTGTTGACTACCACCAAGAATTCTGACCAAGAAAGATGGCCATGTAGGAGGCTGGACTAGAGGATAGGAAGACTTATGTGGCTTGTCTATCTACCATTGAGGGCAGGGGAGCATTCCAAGTGCAAATCTTGTCAAGTGTAGTAAACCCATTGAGGTAATGTGCGCATTATCTACGTACAACATGGACATTATTGTAAACGGGTTAATCACCTAAATGACTCTCTAATCTGGGTAAATCTATATCTTCCCATTGTCTTATGATCACTAACATTATGATACACCTATATCTACATGACAGCAGCATTTTTCACTTTAATGTATTTTCTGCCAAATTGTCTTGAACTACAGATGGGTTGGGACTGGGGCAGAGCCACATTAGTGAAAGGAAACATATGAGCAAGGATATCTTCTGACTGCCAGTTTTATTTCAATTTTATGGCAAACTGTTAACCACAAAGTCAAAACCTGACCAAGAAATTGGCTTGAAGGAGAGCAAGTCACATAGTAGAAAAAGTGAACAAATATTCAGGAGACACTGAGGTCCTGTTCATGCCCTGCGGCCAAGAACACAGGTGGTTCCAGTAACCTGTTCTATAATTGAGCATGATAATAGTATCAAGCTCATCTTTATAAAGATTAAATGAGATCCTCATTGAAGTATAATATTTAGCGCAGAGACTTGGTGGACTGTCAATGTTCAAGAAATGTGGACACTGACATTGATAACAGCAATACACCTCGGGGTCCCTTTTGGCCCTCAGCTAACTCATCAGTGAAGACAAGATAATAAACCATTTTCATAGGGATGTAGGGAATTCTTGGGCACTTAACAGGTGCTCAATAACTGTTAGTCCTCACTCTTTCCAAGTGTTCCTTTTCTTCCCTGCCCAGCTCTGACATCCTACTGGACAACAGATCAGGGTGAAGGCCTCCTGTCGACGACACCTGTCCACTACCATGGTCCTGCCTAACAGCATCTGAAGAGCACAGCCCAAATCCTCATCTGCACCCCCAACCTGCCTAACAGATTTTGTCTCCCACTTCATTGCTGTCACCCTGATTGACAAACCTGCAGCCAGCAGATCATGCTCACAGTGGGAGGGAATCATTACCTCCTGCTAATATTTTTATAGAATTTCATAAACTTGGTCATTCATGAATCATTTACAGTACTTTATTCCAATGAAGAGTTCACAAATCACTCAAATGCTGGCAAAATGCATAATAATGAGTAATATTTCAGGAGGCTTTGCATTAATATGTCAGCTTCTAATACTTCAAGAGATAAATTATTTTGCCAGGTACCACTTCAGGTCAGAAGCATGGGAAGCCCTTTTGGGGGCTGGGGCAGGGAGGAGTGGCAAGGTGGCTGTGGGTTGTGGGAAGAAAGGGTATTTAAGAGGTAATAGATCATCTGGGCAATCAAAGCCCTTTCCCAGGCCCAGTAAGCAGAGTTTCTAGGAAAGGGGCTAAAGAACTTGCAGATTACATGTCAAAATGGAGTGGAGAGTAAAATAGGAAGACGTGTTTCTTAGTGACTGAAAATGCAGGGCTTTGGAGCTGGACATGGATCCCAAATCTAATACCCACCAGCTGTGAGACCTTGCAAAAGTTGTTTAACAGCTATTTGCTTATCTGTAAAATGGTGTTAACACCTACTTTTTAAGTCTTTTGTGTGAAATGGATTAAAGAGAGAACGTATACAAAGTGTTTAGCACAATATCTGCCATGCAGTGTTCAATAAACAGGAGCTTCAATGATGATACATATTCAGGGGCCCAAGGACAAATGTATCCCAGTTTATTTCTTATCACACAAATCCCTGAGGCGTAGATCAAAACGCCTGTTGGATTTGGGAAATGTTAACTCATTAGCATGCACTTGCATGTGAGTAGCATTTAACGTTAAAATAAACAACAACATTGGAGCAATTATCATAGCAATACATTCACCCACACACTTGGGTTTTTAAACTTGTAAGAGTAGAAACTAAATGTGGAGATTTGGAGACCTAGGATTCTGCTCTTTGAAGAAGTAGGTTTGCTACCAACAATACTGATTGCCATGAGTACAATAGCCCTAACTGTACCACCAGACAGTAAATCATTTCTAAATAGGTGCTTGAAATGGACTGGAATTGCAACATTCATGTGCCCAGAGAGTATCAACAATACAGCAGCCCAGTTCTCACTGAGTTTAGGAACAGGAGAACCAAGGACAGAGTGATCAGGGACCTTCCTCAGCAAGGATTTGAAGAACACAGGGTGATGACAGAACTGAATGGCACGAGTCATGGAGGGAAATGACATTAGGAACTGACCCTCAAGAGGCAGGTGAGGAGTGACTCAGGGCCAGGCCCAGTTTGGCCGTTGTAGTGTGGGTACTTGTGTAAGAAACTGCTTCCCCACCAAGCACCAGCAGTCTTTCCAAAGGGCGTATGTGGCCCTGTGCCAGGAGTAAACTGAGCTATACGACCAACAAGACACGGCATCCTGGCATGTCACCTATACACAATAATGAGGAATTTAAATCAGTTTATTTTGAAACAAAGCCTAGGCACTAAAATGAAAGACACGTGAAAGCTGGGAACCTGGTATGTCCTGTTTCTACTGTGTTCCCCACGACCTTGGAGAGCGCCCTCACCCTATAGAACACGTGTAGAATGGATGAATGAATTGATCAAACCATCGATATACTATGAAGCAGATTATGAAACTATCATAAAAACTGAAGAAAATTCACGCATGAGATGAGCAGGTTGGGCCCATCTCAGAGTCCTTTGAGTTTTCATTTGTCTTTTGTTGACTTTAACATTATTAATCTCTCTCACTTGTGTGGTAAGATTATACAGTGCTTAATATGTTTCTGGCATGCTTAAATTTTTGACATGTATAATTCATTTAATCCTCATGAAATCCTATAATGTCATTATTATTATTATTCCCATTTTCCAGGTTAGGAAGTTGAGTCAGGCACCCTGCCAAGTTCCCACAGCTAGTATATGGTAGCCATGATTTGAGTACAGCGAACCTGGCTGCACACAGAATCCACACTTTGAGCTACTTTGCTATTATATGACCGCATGTTAAGAAAAAGTATGAGAAGTTCCAAGTTACAGACCAAGCTCTATTTTATTAGCTAATTAGCTAGTAATTTCATCATCTATGATCCTTAGAGGTGCTAGTACTAGCTACACTTTATGCACAAGAATCACGAGATCAGGGAGGGTAACAGAGTTGTCCAAGATCACACAGCTCAGTAAGCAGCAGCGCTGAGACTTGAATGGCATTTTTCTAACCTCCAGAGCTCTTAATCTCTATGTTATGAAATTATGAAATTTATTGTATTCTTCCTTAGTTCCTTATGTTTGAAACTTAATGGATAGTCCCAAGACAGGCATGGAGAGAGAAGAGGACACCTACTCATGGTCTGCTCCTGGTTTTTCCTACAGCGGCTGGACACTCATAGCTGCAAGGTCACCTCTGGTTGCTCTCAAGGCTGGCTGGGACTGGAAATTTCTGAGGGTGCCAATGTTCAGTTTCTACAACCAACAGATTCCCTCTTGGGTATACGCTGAGAGGACCCACAGCTCCCTCTTCAGTGCTCACTGACAGGTGATGCGCCCTGTAGACAGATGCTCAGAAAAGCCTTTGGCAAGGCTTCCAAGGGGGAAGTCTGGAAGGCACCCTCATGCTCCTGGGCCCAGGACCCTTGAGCACATTGTTCAGCATGGGATCCGCTAGAGGTGGGGACTCCGCCACCTACCATCCTGCTACCACACTGCATCTGTCTGTCTAGCACTTTATGCTTCCAATGTCCTTATAGTATCTTCTCCTCTCTGAAAACTCAGAGCAATGTAGCTGGGTATGTAAGAAAACCAAAGAAAACAATAACTCCAAAGCACAACCATTAACACTTTGTGTTTTCTTCTTCTATCATTTTTCTTAAACATATACACATCATGTGTGCAAAGAATCTGTAACGAGGATACCACATGTATTTGCGTGTTCTGTTTCTATTCCATTTTTTCAATCCTTATGATATGACTAAAACTTCTTCAAAAGAATTTTAAACGGCTACAGAAAACTGCCTTGCAAAATGTGCCATAATTTAAACACTGCTCGATTGCTGAATATTTAACAATTGTCTCCATTTTAAGGACTATGTCCTGCCATAGCATGATTGTACAAAAATTGAACTAAATTCCTCCCTATTTCCTTAGAATAGATTTCTGAAAGTATATAATTATCTGGTGCAAGGTTTTATACCTCTTACAGCTCTAGATCATCAGGTGATCTCCGGAAAGCCAAAGTTGACCCTGGGGGCTTCACAGCGGAGGTTGTGACCTCCTCTGAGATGCCCCAGGGTCTCCCTTCTTGGTCTCCAGTACCCAAAGTCTGATGTAGGCCTGGAGGGCTCCATGGATGAGACAGAGACCCCCACTGTGACCGTGTTGGGGTTTAACTCCACTTCAGCTCCCACAGAAACACCCTAAAGCCACACAGCCCTGGATTTGGTGAGGCACAGAAATAATGAGCTCAGCGGGAAGAAAAGAATCTTTGAAATACATGCACGGTGGGGAGGTGAGGGGCACTCACTTGATAAGTAGCGATCATTTCTCTATCCAAGGACCGTGTCACCGAGACGCTGCCCGTGTTCTCATTGATTCTGAAAATTCCTTTAGGCTCTTGATCCACTCCTTTTCCAGTGAGCCGGAACTTGGACCCTTCCGGTCTGTCACTATCGACTACCTGGTCAGAGAAACAGAGTGACATTTAAAACTGTCTGGAAAACACAGAGAAAGCACGTTAAAACCATAACTCAGCCACCAATCTACTAATCACAGGTGCCAACACAAAGGTGTCTGCAAAGATTTGACTAAAACAGCATTGCCAAAAATAGCATCATTGTTTAATATGTTTTATCCTGATATCCAAATCTTGGCAGCCGTCAGCTGGGGAAGCTTCCCAGCACTCAGGTGACATGTAGGGATGGACCAAGGAGGGAAATGACTTCAAAGGTGGGCATTTATATTATTTTTAACTCCAGGAAGTAGAATTTTGTTTTACTTTCTCTGCAAGCAAGACCAAATAGGCAATGGAAACAATTTATTCGACAATCCTATACTGGGGAAGCATTGATGGATGTTCTAGATATTTACATGTATCCAGTCAACAACAGTGCCACCTGCCCCATAGATTCAACTAGGTACAAAGCATGGTGCTGAGAAAAAAAAAATATATATAGATATGTATATTTAAATCTCAAACAATGCTGGGGGCAAGAGACATTATTCCTATTTAATGGATGAAACCACTGAGGCACAGAGAGATTAAACAAGGTGGCCATGGGCAAAGCTGTTGAAGAGATAAAGATATATTCAGAACCACATCTTCCATTTCTCTAGAGATACTACAATATGACACAGTCATTTCTGAATTTCATTTAAGGAATTTTTCTATAGATTGTCAACCTTGATTTGACATTTGAAGAATACATTCAGGAGGTAAGTGGAGGAGGGTAGTTCCAGGCAGAGGGAACAACACAGACAAAGGCAGCAGGCAGGAGAGGGAGAGCCTAGAAAATTCCAGAAATGGTGAGTCATTAGCATGGTTTATGTAGAGGATGGGCTGAGAAGTATTTTAGTTAGGGGTCACATTATGGGAGGTCTTTTGATGGCATTTGAAAGTTGCAACTAAAGAGAGAACTATTATTTGCATAAGTGGTTCTAGAATTTACCCTCAAATATTCATCGACATGTAAGGTCACTTTACCATCGGAACCTTCAAAGGTTAATTTGGTTATAGCAAAACAATTTAAAGGTCATAAACACAATGGATATTCAGGATATACAGATAAAAGAGACCTGGATACAGATCCAGCTGCAACCAACTTACAAATGAGCAGGCATCTACTGAAACACACTCAACAGTGCCTGGAGAGTTTAGATGGATAGGACAGGAAACCTGCCTTCTAGAGTATATCAGCATCCCCCAAGAGGTCATTTCTACAGCCACCAAGCCTGCAATTCCGAAGTGTGACACTAGGTGGCAGTGGTGCCTAAGGCAGCATGAACTTCATGACAGGGTTCACCTGGCAGGACCAGTGGCGGCCCAGCAAGGCATAGTTCCATATGGCAATACAGGCTTTTTTTCTGATTAAAAAATATTCTTTATTAAAATACATTAAATGTTTTGATAAAACACCAATTACCTATGTTTGTGTTTTTAAGATTAACAGAAAATTGGATATAAAGGAAGATTAAAAATAAGGTATGTGATAAGAATTTTTAATCACTGCTTGACTTGATTTAATCCAACTGACATTCTTTCTCTGACCCCTTCCCTCCTGCTTGGAAGTCCCATGAAGTCAAGACTCACAGCTTACTGGGCTCACCATGGTGTCCCAGCGCCTGGCACAGTGCCTGGCACACAGCAGCAGCAGACACCGGTACCTGCTTAGTGAAGAACATCACTGTTCAGACAGACACATGTCGCAATCCCAGCTCTGTCAGTGAGCAGCTGTGTGACTTTGAACATGGTCCTTTGCCTCTTGGGCTCTTGATGACCTCATCATTAAAATGGGTTACCACTACTTATTTCCCGGAATTACTGAGGGTTTCATGAGATAGAGTATACACAGTGCAGTTCCTGGCAGATAGAAGGGGCTCAGTCAATCACAGCTAACAATTGCAATCCTAGTAGTAATAACCACAGCAAAATCATACTGTTGTTAATGTGTAAGGCTGATGCCTGCAGGCATAAAAAGCATCTTAGCCATCATGTAAGAAAAAGTCCCTTTCTGAAGGAACATATTTCCTTTTTAGAAACAAAACTCACAAACCTCCCTGAAGAGGAGTGCTCTGGAAGCAGACTCCCTGGATAGGAAGGGGTCCTGGGCTCACGCCGCTCTTCTCTGCTGCCGCCATGGTTATTGCTGCTCCTGCCGCCTTACCACCTCTACCCAAATGTGGATTCCCCTGTTCTCCTAGGCACACCTGCCATAGGCAGGTCCTCCCCAAGAGGTCCTACTAACCTAGAAACCATTCTAATGGGAAGTGAACATGGGAATCCTATAAGAGCCATGGAGAAACTATGCTTCCCAGGAAAGGACATCTGACCCCATCTGTCTGCCAGACACAGGCCCCGCTGGTGAGGACCTGCCAGGAGAAGCCTTCTGTGCTCTTTGTTCCCCTTTCTTATACCTTCCCTGCTCAGAAAAATTTGGGAACACAGAACCCAGACCTTCTGGAAGAAACACAGTTGGGGGTACACCCCTTGGGGCAAATATCCCCACTCTCTCATTTCTCTACCTGGTGCCTACCACAGAAAGCCGAATTCTGGACTCAGAAATTCCCCAAGGGTGACTTCCCTTCTGCTGCCAAGGTTGGAGCTGGGTCATTTCCTCCTGCTATCTCGGAGAGCTTGGGCCACTTGAACTTACAGAAGCAGGGTCTTGGGGTCTTGGAGAGAGGACCCTGTCGAATTAGCACTTGCTGCTGGTTTGAAATGATTTATTCCCCAGGGAAGGAGCAAGTCCCCATTGTGAGGGCCTCTGCTTAGCACTGCACAGTCTCTATGTCTGTCTTTCTTTCTTTCTCTTTCTCAATATTTTTGTGTTCTTAAGAAGAGGTGTATCTTTTATTTGTTGAACCTGCCTCTTGGTCCTCAGAAGGCACACCCCAGAAGGATGAGCCTTGTGGGGGCACCAGCACCAGGAATTGAGGAGCCTCATTCTCTCTGGAACAACTGATCTCAAGAGGTGCTTCCCCCGGAAGAGTGTCTGCACCTCTGGGAACTCCTTAGGAATGCAAATTTGCAGCCCACACCCCAGTCTCCTGAATCAGAAATAGCAGGGGGTGAGGCCTGGTGACCTGAGCTTCCATAAGTCCTCTAGGTGACTCTTAAGCACACCTGAGCTTGAGGACAACTGCCTAAGACAGATTTCAGTACCATCCCTTTTCAGGGTGACTGAGGCTGGTGTCTACCGCTACTGTTTGGAGCCTTCTGCTAAAAATAGGCTGGGTCTGTTTGCTCCCTTCTTTCTAAACCTATTTTAAACATATAACACCAACAGGAACTCTTCTAAAAACCTATTTCTAGGATCTCAGTAAAGCAGAGTAGGTATTTCTCAGAGGTGCTAGACCAACATCTCTACATGTGTCAAAGGCACCCCAGGGCTTGGAGGAACCTTGGAGAGGAAAGCGTGCGATTGCGGGGCTGCTCCTCAGGAACAAGCTGGGTGTCTTGGCTCAATTTGGATCCAGGAGGAAGCTCAAGTTGCCTGAATCACCCACCACCTCTCTGGCTTCTTGGTCCCTGGTGGGGTTTCCAGAGGGACCTCAACACACTCCAACCTCGCTGAGCTGGGAGATAGCAGCTATGCAATGGCTATAACCCCAAGGGTGTCCTTAGCCACACATCAAAAATATCCTATGCAAAATAAGTGGGTTTCCAGGAGACTTTTATTATACTATGTTAAACTCCTGAAAATTGTCCAGATGCTACTCTACAACTTCAGCAGCCAAACCTGTAGTCCTGTCATTGTTGTTTTACGTGATGAAACAGAAGAAATCCAGTGCACTCCTCTGGCCAGAACAAACCCTGCCGTGAGCTTCTCCCCCTGCAGCAGCTGTTAACACCCATTATACTACATAGCAGGGCTTCACAATTAGCTAGTCTTTCCTATTATTCTCTGTAATTCAACACTTCTTTTTCACAGTGGGATTTTTTTTTCTTGCCTCTGAGTTGGAATGGAAAAAATAGCTAATGAGGAGGAAGAACTTGGCCCCCAGCTGCCAGGACTCTGGAAGGGATGTAAACAGCACAGGGGAGCCTTGCTGCACACCTGGGTAAAGAGACTTCCTGGCTGGCTGTGGGGGAGGCACTGCATAGCCGGGACCAGAGTCCTGCATCCAGGGAGGGGCAGGAAACACTGAGGCCTGGAGCAGGTAGTGAAGGCTCGATCTGAATTTCAAAGGGTGTATTTGATGTATGCTTTTGGCAGAATATGACACAATGTGGACAAGGCCAATGTCTCTTTTGGCTCCCCCTACTAAGCCCTGTTCCCATCTCTATTCTCTGCTGCAAGTAACCGATGATGCCACCGTGTATGTGTTTTTAAGCAGTGGTGCCCAACCTTTTTGGCACCAGGTACTGGTTTCATGGAAGATAGTTTTTCCGCAGGTTGCACTGGCATCACTGCAATGGGGAGAGGCTGTAAATACAGATGAAGCTTCACTTGCCCCTTTTCCACTGAGGGAGGTTGGGGGGCAGCATAGATCTGTGGCCTGGTTCCCAACAGGCCATGGACCAGTACCAGGCCATGGCCTGGAGCTTGGGAACTGCAGTTTTTAAGGTTTTTTTTTGTATGAATTTATATGTATACCTATGGACTCATAGACTATATAGCAGTTTTCAATGTTTTTACATAATAGGATCTTTATAGATTATTATGCACTTTTTCTACTTAATGTGTTTGGGGCATATATGTACATGTGTGTATGCATTTATGAACTTTGTAGAGGGGGTAATTTTAGATTTACAGAAATATTGCAAAGATAGTGCAGAGTTTCCATAGACCTTGCGTTCGATTTCCCCTAATGTTAATATCTTACCCAACTGTGAACATTGGTCACTGCTGAGAAATTAGCACTGATACTTGACTATTAACTAAGCTTTAGATTTTATATATTCAGATTTCACCATTTATTCTAGGGCTATCATTTTTCTGATCTAAAATCTAACCTGGG